ATTTATTGGATACCTACTTTGTGCAAGTCCTTGTGCTAGGGACTTGATGCAAAAATCTGATCATTCTTCTTTTACATATTTTCTTAAGAACTCAAAAGGTATTTTTAGACATACCATGCTTATTTTACCAAAAACTCCATGGGATCACATAGGACAGATATTATTGCTGCTTTGGAGTTGGAGACACTGAACCAGAAAACACATATTTGCCCAAAGTCATACCATTAAAGCTATGGAAGTTAAGAATCAAATTTTCTCAACCTCAACTCTAAAAACGATAGGTACTTTAAAACAATCAACTTCAAAGTAATGTTTATTTTCTGTATTAAATAAATGACTTTTTGCACAGAAATAACTGTAATAAAAGACTTAATATAAAGTCCTATTTAAATTATACCCATTATCACAATATATTCAAATGTTCGTTCAACACCACTTGAAGGTAAACAAAACATTTCTCAAAATTGAACATAAACTAATTTTACACATAACACCAAAATTCCCTAACACCAGTGCTTCAAAGTGTTTCCTTTGTCCAAGCCTTGATATCACATCTACCTTATCACTCTCCCACCTCCATAGACTCCTCAGAACCAGAGTTCACTTAACTGCCTGAAAAATCAGTAGATATTGAAGAAGAGGTGTGTGGGTGATTTAATTAAGCACCAGGGAAAGTTAAATGAAAAGCAGTATTTATTCAAATGAATGATGTTGTTAACCAACACTCAGAAGCAGTATGAAGTTACATTTGACCTACTAAGTGCTCAATGGAGGTACTAAACTCATTCTGAAAAGATGTTTGAAAGATACTGACACTGGTAAAATCTAAAACACAATAAAATTTTTGTCTTTAAGGCTTAAATTCCTTACTTAAATGCACACTAATATTATTGATTTATTTAAACCAAAAGCTGTAGCCCGTCTGACTACTAACCAATCCCCTCCCCCACTCTCTAACCCAATTATGGATTAGCCACTATACATTTTATTCCGTTTTCTCCCCACTACGCAAAATGCTTCCAGCCTGCTACTCATGGTATAAAACAAAGTCTGAAGATGATCATTTATTTTGGATTTTATTTATTTTTATTTTTATTAGCATATGCATTGTTACAAATCATACTTATTCTTTATGCCCCTTATCCAATCTCCCTCCGCCTCCCCTTCTCCCGCCAACAACCATAGATTTGTTCTCTCCATCTGATACACTAACTGTTCCTCTGTTGGTTTGTTGCCTAGAAGACCTGTCCAGTACTCACACAGGTATGATCGAGTCCTCCCCTATTATCGTAAATCAGATGCTTTTTTTTTTTTAAAGATGACCGGGAAGGGGATCTTAACCCTTGACTTGATGTTGTCAGCACCACGCTCTCCCAAGTGAGCCACGGACCAGCCCTCAGATGTTTCTTCTATTATTCTGGAGTGTGCTTTGTGGAGAGAGAGCACCTCTTTTTTTTTTTTTTTTTTGGTCTCCACTGGTGCCTCTCCTCTTGTCAATGCAGCTGAGAGTCTGGCATGCCATCTGCACGGTGGCTGTGACTGCTGCTATACGTAATAAATGCTTTTGAGGCAGCCATGGCAATTGCAGTGGCTGTGGTGGGCTACCCATGTGGAAATGTGTTTTCAGTGTGCTCTTTAGCTGGGGCCCCAGGGCAGTGGCAGAAGCTTATCTGGTTGCAGCTGGGTTCAGCTTCCCCAGCTCTATGCCTCATTCTAAGATGTTGCAGAGCAGTTGAGTGGGGGAAGGAGAGGGGAAGGGGAAGGGAAATCGTGTGGGAAGAGGAGGAAGGAGGGGGAGCGTAATTAAGGCCCATGGCACCGTCCTCATTCTGGCTGGGGAGACCAGAGGGATTCCAGGAGCAGCTCAGTCATTGCTGGGCTGGATGCAGATGTCAGGGGGTGTGGCTGAAGTCCTTGGCTCCTCACCATCTGGCTAGGGAGCCAGGGGCATTTCCTGCTGTGGCTCAGTGGTCATCGCTGGGTTGGCTGCAGATGTTGGGGGGGCATGGCTGAAGCTCTTGACCATCCTCTCTCCCTGGGTTGGAGCCCAGGGGACTTCCGGTCTTTCTAGGTTTTACAGGTGTTCTTTGGTGGTGTTAGACCTTTACTAGTTAATATCAAACTTTGTCTCTAATCTGTGGGTATTTTGTTTTTACTTTAGTTCTGTGTTGGATTATTTGCTGTTCCCACCACTTAAACTCTGCACTGGAACTAATTTGTTGTCCTTTGCTTCCTTCTAAAATGGAGGAACTTCCTGTGGGGACCAGTACTTGAGCCCTGTAGTTGAGCTAAATTGCTTCATTGCTGCTGATCCCCTGGGGAAGGCTTTTTGTGCAACTGAGGGTTTAATTGTCAACCTTGTATGTATGTATGGGTCTTGTGAGGTCCAGTACACTTGGGCTGTGTGGAAACTCTGGTCTGGGCCTGAGTCTTTTCAGCAAACTGCTCCCCTATATTCCTGACCAGTCTACAATGAGTGGGCCTGTGCTGATTGGAGAGCAGATCAGCTGTCCATTTTGTGCCCCAATGTCCCCTGGTGGCCCATCTCCCCCACCACCCTCACTCCAAACACTTCCCATGGGATGGGCCATATACTGGTCCCTTGTGACGACTCACTGGCCTCTGAGTGACTCCTTTTTTCTGTTGTCTGTGGCTCCTCAGTCCTATGTGGGTCCATGGGAATCCTGTTAGTGGTCTGGCTGGCCTGGGAGCCCTCTTCTCCCCTGCCATCTCCAAGCAGCTTCATATGAAGGACACAGCTGTGGCTTCTGCCAACTCTTGCTCTGTGCACTCAGCAGCTCCAGCCTTAAAGATCCAGGGCTCAAAAAGGTTGGAGCAGTTCTTTCTTCCTCTCATCGTAGCTTCTCCCACCCTCATGCACTCCATAGGTCCCTCCTCCTCTTCCGCTGATCTATAGCAGCCCCAGCTTGGCTGTAGTTGCTTTTTAATAGTTGTAAATTGGTTGATTTGTGGGAGAGAGTGACGCTGGGGACCTTCTATTCTGCCATCTTGACTGGAAGCCTCTTATTTTGGATTTTCTATGTCCTTATGTTTCTGAACAAGTGGAGCTATTTCACCACTTTATCTCCCCATATAGGTATTAATCACACCATATTGTTACCCTCTAGCATTTAAATTAATAATGATAGCATGGAAAAATTGAAAGGAGACAGACATTAGACTTGTCCCACACCTAGGGCTAAATCTTTTATCTGTAACCAAAATGCCTAATCATTGAATGAAAGATGTATCAATTATGAGATAGCCACACAATGGAATAACTATGAAAGTTATATACTTACTGACTTGGAAAGAAACTCATGATATATTGTACAAAAAGGAACATATGGTATAATTTTTAAAATATAAAAATATGTATAGATACACAAAGCAAAAATGTAGAATAGTAACTGATTATCTTAACAAATATGTATCAGGTGATTATTATATGCTGACAGTTGTAGATGCCCAGGTTACAGCAGTGAAATAACAAATTCCTTGTCTCCATGGAGCTTAGATTCTAAGAAGTATCAAACAAGTTAACATACAATTTAACGTTGGGTATCAGCATAACTTACCATACAATTATATACAACATAACAAAAGTTATGTTGTAATAAGTTAACATACAACATAACAGTTAACATACAACAAGTTAACATATAATATAACAAATATCAGAATAAGTTAACATACAATTTAATGTTGGGTATTTCAGAAAAGCTGAAAGGGTAAGAAAAGAGTGCTAGAGGCATGCTATTTTAGGAAGGTGGTCAAAGATGACTTCCCTTAAGAAGTAACGCTGGAATAAACACCTGACTGATGTTTGGGAGGGAACCATGAAGACAGCTGGGGTAAGAGGTGCAGCAGGTAAAGGAACACCAAGTTTGAAGCTGTGAGGCAAACGCATGTTTGGTATGTCCTAGGAAGGGAAAGTAAATACGACTGAACAGGCATTTGGAAGGAAGAGAATGATAAGAAATGAGATCAGGAGGCAGCCAGGGGCAAATCTGGGCTTTGAAGGCCCCAGTGAGAACTCTGGACTTCCAGTGGAATCAGGAACTCCATAGAGAGTATGGGCAGGGGAGATCAGATTCACATTTATATCCTAAAATGTCAACAGTAGTTATCCCTAAGCATAAACATTTCAGATTTTTTCCCCATATTGTTTCTCTGTATTCTTATTCTCATCTCAAACAATGAGCCCTACCTCTCCCTTAACCAAAAGTTCTTAAAAATCATTCACTGCATTCATTTAAATATGAAAATGTTTTTTCAATTAACTCATTCCTCTGACCTGTTTCGTTACATTGTGGCCCCTTTTCAGGCAGATGCTTCTCTAAGAGAAAGGAAAACATGTAACTATATTAATAGCTATTCAGCTCAAAGTGTTGGTTAAAAACAGAAAATTGTTTACATTTATACCAAAACTCCAAGTCAGAGGTTCTTATGTAATCTAACACTTTAAACTTCTGAGACATAATTAAACGAGATGAGGCAGATTCTATAAATTCAAAAGAAGAATATGATCTGTCAATAAAAAGGCGTACTTAAATCTTTATAGTCTACCTAACTTCAGTGTCAAGGTCAAAAGTGTTTCTTGAAGACTAATGAGACTAAGTTATCATTAACCACCTGAAATAATGTTTAATGTACTTTTTAATCAGTACAGTTTAAAGTAAACACAAAGATACTCTGATATAAATTTGGAAGTTTCCAGTACTGTTAGTGATGCCCTCTGTGCTAATGTCCCAATTAACCAAGATTAACTGAAGATATAAATATTAAGGCTTGATTTTTAGAAAAAGCATTAAACTTCAACTTGAGAGTGCAAACCTAGGACCCACCTCCCAACACAATCCCCAGACTTGTTCCCAACTATCCTTGAACTCAGACTCTCCTAGGTGTCAAATGAGAGACACTATCAGGTAACCTTCAATTTTTTTCCTTTGAAAAAGTTATCTGGAGTTTATAAAACAAAACCAAAAATTATCTTAAGATTCCTTTCAATCATTTACCATTTATTAAATGCATAACGACCATTAAAGAAAAAAGCTTGTAACACTAAGTACAAATAATATATTTTATTTCATCCCTGAAAACAAAAACAAAAAACAAAAATGTCCACATCTAATAAGAGACAATTATTCTGAACTTCACCTGGCAATGATATATAATGAATTTCTTCACATAAAGGTAGAGTACAGAGAAGAGAGTTTGGAAAGCTGTCTTTCATGAAACAATATTTTCTCATACATATTTTAATAAAATATTACAATTATTGCTACTACATGTGGTAGCATATTATAATAATGAACAATACAATTCCAAAACTAAATTCAATATAGTCTAAATCTAGAAGCTAGCTACACTTAAGCAGTTATTATAGAGAATAAATACTATGAAATATAGGGCACCATATGCCAATTAGATTTGCTACAAGGGAAATTAAAATAAAGGTGCAATTTTCTCTATAGTAGAATTACCCAAGATTAGGCTCTCTTCTGCTATATACAATAGCTGTTTTCCTGAAAAGATGGTCAATTTTCATAATTTAAATGATATTTTAAATGTTCTTTATTTTTAGGTGGCCGTTATATAAAATGAACATCTAATGTATCTGTTATATAAAACCAAAATTTCATAAAGCACGTTATTCTTATATAACATAACATTAATGTTTTCCAAGCAATTTAATGCAGCACAAGTACCTTTATTATATACATCTGGCTGAAGTCCTCAAGAGTCCCTGTCTCCTAAACACCTGTACCCCTCTACCCCTACTAACATAATAAAAGGAAAAATTACCCAAATATGGAAATAATATACTTTCTTGATGACACAGACAACCAAAGGGTTAAACATTTAAATTAACATTCATCTATGTGAAAAATCATGAATACTTTAGTTACTTTTAATCTCATCATAAAAATATCTTTTATTCTTCAGAATATATGTAAGAAAATTTTAAGTCTCACATTAGAGATTACTATTTTAATGTTGTTATTAAATTGTCCCAATGTTTAGAATAAGTTATGCACAGTGACTGCTACCCATTTCAAGATTATACTCTTACAAATTTAATTTTTTTTAAATATACAATAATCAAACTTCAGTGATTTGAAGGATAGTGCAAATGAAGACATTCTTTGGGTCATGATTTCAAAACATTATTTTCAACATTATACTTCCTTCCTCTGTTCATAATCTGAGTAACAAAATATAGTACTGGAAGTAAGCACATTTTCTAATAGCCTTAGTCTACCAGTTATATCTATTGAGAACCAAAGACAAAATGATTCAATAACAATATCCTCCACTTGTCTGAAATACATGTTATATACTTAAATAAATATTTTATAGAAACGAATCCATATCTTTCAGTGCTTTCGCTTCAGCTTGATCTCAAACACAAAAGATTTATACAAAGATCACCTACCTGCTTACTACATCAACCATGTTAACAAATTCCCTTTCAGGATATAGTACAGCATTGAAGAGACTTGCCTGAAAGCAAACTAATGACTTTTAAACTTGTATATACAGAATAAGAGTTCCATGAATCCTGCACACTCCTTGAAAACATGTAGAGCTTTTATTGTAAAATATTACTCTCTCCTAGCCAGTGATTAAAAAGCTTTTCTGCCATAGGATATGATCCACAGTGGATGCAGCAGCACAAGGTGATCTTCAACTGCTATCTAATGCTGCCTGACACATTTATCCTTTTATTTGTGGTGACTGGCACCAAATTCCCACTAGTACCATTGGTAGTGTTGGTTGCTGAGCCATTCACAACAATGTAGTCAACTTTGTTCTCCAGCTTTCCCAAGCGTTGCAAAATGTCATCCAAAAGGACAGCAATTGTTCTTTTTAGATCCGCTAGGGGGAAAAATCAGAATAAACCATATTAAACATTAATAGAGCACTTAATATTTATGTTTTTATAGTCTGAGAGGGAAAGGTAAACAATTGTTGGGTCATTTGAAAGAAAATGTGCTAGAGAAAATGCACTCATAACACAAATAGGAAAGCCTTATTATTTTAACCAATAGCATCAACATATAGAGTTTCCAAAAGACATTTCAAAGTGGTAAATGTGGGAGAAACTCTCACTTTTCTAGAGCAATATAACAGATTTAAAGTCTGGCAAAAAATATCAGTCCCTCTGTAAGAGGAACCCATTTTACCCTGCGTTTCTTAAGCAGTTTATAAAGAATACTGCAGACTAGTCAGGTAAGGCAAAAAGTCAGCTAAGTAACAGATTCAGTAAAATGCAGAAAGAAGAAACCTGGAACCTCCACAGGCTGAAGTGGGGGGGGAGCCTACGATCCAGGGCAAATGCCAGGAACCTGGTCAGTGCAGTAGGCACACCAGCAGTAGTGCTGATTGAAATTTCTTCCAGAGAAACGATGGGGAAAACTAGTATCTTCTAACCTCTTTGGAAGGTTAAGGGGCTTCAGTAAAATTTACCTGGTACGGAATGAAATTATGAGCCTTTTTTCCTTCAAAATTCTCTTTTATCAGGTTTCCCAAAGGCACCTAGCACATATTAGGTACTCAATTAGCGGCAACTAACATTATCTTTTTGTTGATCCTGGACCAAAAACTCAGCCCTAATCTGGGATCACTAGGGGAAAAATAATCTCACAACTGATAAATTTGCTCATGTATCAGAAAAGCATAAGCAACAAACGAAAAAAGAGATAAATTGATCTTAATCAAAATTGAAAATTTTGGGGCCGGCCCCGTGGCACACTCGGGAGAGTACAGCCCTTGGGTGCGCAGCGTCGCTCCCGCTGCGGGTTCGGATCCTATATAGGCATGGCCAGTGCGCTCACTGGCTGAGCGTGGTGCGGCCAGTCACGAAAAAGACAAAAAAATAAATAAATAAATAAAAAATTGAAAACTTTGGGGCATCAAAGGACATTAAAAAGAAAGTGAAAAGACAATGTGGGAGAAAATATTTGCAAATCATATATGTTAAAAATTTACTATACACAACATATAAAGATCTCTTACAACATAAGAACAAAAAGATAAACAACTCAATTTTTAAAATGGGTAAAGGACTTGAATAGACACTTCTCCAAAGAAGATATGCAAATAGCCAATAAGCACGTGAAAAAATGCCCAACATCAGCAGCCATTAGGGAAATGCAAATCAAAATCATAATGAGAAACCATTTTATACTTACTAGGAAAGCTCTAATCAAAGAAACAGAAAATAAGTGTTGGTAAGGATATGGAAAAATTAAAATCCTCATACATTACTAGTGGGAATATAAAACGGTGCGGCTGCTATGGAAAACCATTTGGTAGTTTGTCAAAAAGCTAAACACAGAATTACCATATGAATTCCACTCCTAGGTATATACTCTAAAAATTCCTAGATATATATCCCCAAAAAGCTGAAAGCAGGAACTCAAAGAAACACCTATACACCAATGTTCATTTCAGCTTTATTCACAATAGTCAAAAGTGAAAACAATCCAAGTGTCCCTCAATGGATAAACAGAAAAACAAAATATGGTATACCCATACCATGGAATATTATTCAGCCATAAAAAGGAATGATGTTCTGATATATGTCACTGTATAAGCCTTGAAGATATTACGCAAAGTGAAATAAGCCAGACACAAAAGGTCTAGTACTGTATGATTCCACTTATATAGAATGTCTAGAATAGGCAAATTTACAAAGAAAGAAAGTAGATTAGAGGTTACCAAGGGCCAGGGGAAGTGTAAAATAAAGATCTATTGCTTAACGGTTACCAAGTTCCTTGTTTGGAGTGGTCTAAGTTTTGGAAAGACATGATAGTGATGGTTGCACAACACTGTAAATGTAAGTAATTACCAATAAACTGTACATTTAAAATGTTTAGGGCCGGCCCGGTGGCACACTGGATAGTGCGCCGCTTGGGAAGCGCGGCGGCGCTCCCGTCCAAGGGTTCGGATCCCACATACAGACCGGCTCCCGCTCACTGGCTGAGCGAGGCGCGGGAGCAACACCGAGGCTTGCGATCCCGTTGCCGGTCCCTGGTCCGGTACGGGGGCAACACTGAGGGTTGCGATCCGTTGCCGGACACGGAAAAAAGACAAAAGACAAAAAAAAAAAAAAAAAAATTAAAATGTTCAAATGGCAAATATTATGTTATACATATTTTACCACAATTTTTTAAAAGTGAAAAAAAAATGATAACAAAAGCGTAGTGAGAGTAGTGGTGGGTGGTGGTAGAGGGTGATCAGAAAGTGCTTATGAAAAAATATTAATGTAATATAAAGTGAGAGGAAAACTTTGTTTTTTTGTTTGTTTGCTTTTTGTTTTGTTTTGTTTTGTTTTTTAAAGATGACTGGTAAGGGGATCTTAACCCTTGGCTTGGTGTTGTCAGCACCACGCTCAGCCAGTGAGCGAACCGGCCATCCCTATATGGGATCCGAACCTGTATGTGGCCTTGGTGTTATCAGACCACAGTCTCACGAGTGAGCCATGGGCCGACCCTAAGGGAAAACTTTATATGGAGGAAGTCTAGTCATGGAAGAATGAGATTTTCCAAGCAGTGCAACTCTGGTGTCATTTGTCATGAGCACCTAAATATTCTACTTTCATGGGTATGTACAAGAAAAAAAGATATACAAGAAAAATCCTGACATAAAGTACTTAGGGATGAAATATTATGATATATACAACTGCTTTCAAAATGCTGCCCCCCAAATAAGCATATATATTTGTATGTATAGAGAAAGATAAAGCAAATGAAGAAAAAAGTTAATAAGCAAATTGTGAGTCTAGATGAAGGATATATGTTTAACTCACAATTTTTAAAATTTTTCTGTAAAGTTGAAAATCTTCAAAATAAATGACTAGGGAAAGGAGACATCTTTATTAAGACTTTTCAATCAAGAGTTGTAAGAGTATTTAATAAATAGGAGAGAATTATATATTTTTTTAAGTCCTTTAGCAATAAGTCTACATGATAAATGCTGGACCTGTTTTTCCCTGACATTCACCTCCTTTATAATATTTGAAGAAGTAGCAACCTAGGCCAGAGAAGACTACACAGAATATGGAAGGAGGGGGGTTTATCAGCACATTAACATAAAATGAAGTTAAAGCCCTAGGAGGTTTGACAACAAGCTAAGTTGTGACATGAATTATAAAGGTACAGTCTAATCACTGAACAGAGTTAGGGTTAAGAACAGCAATTAGAGGAAAAGTTGGGGTGAATGAGAAACAACTATATAACTTTAGTAATGTTCTAAATTAAATATAGAGCTCCTTTTAAATTTTGTAAAACAGTTGTTTTAATAAAATATTATAAAAGAAGAAACTAAGAAATTACAACTACCTTGCTCTTCGATATAAAATCACTTCCTTGAAAAACCACAACAAAACTATTGTTACCTGAATTTGGGGCTTTTTCAAATACACCAAAACTTCCCCTTTCTCTATATTCACAATATGATTTTATGTTTACATAGCATGGGACTATATATTTATGGGAATTATATGCTCATATTATATGGGGGTCTATAATACTTCCCCATAAAGCCCTGTCACTGAAGGTGCTAGCAATAAGAACCCCTTCTCTATCATGGGCTCTGTTCAGAAGTCCTAAAAGCAACTTGAAAACGGAGACCATATCATATCCATCCTTTTGCTCTCAGCCCACCTAGCTTGGTGCTTCATCACACAGCAGACACTCAACAAATGATTGAAATCCACGTTTGCTGAAGGTCTAATTCACATGTTTGGCAGACAGTATCAATGTTGAGATTGACATGAAGCATCAGATTTAGGAAATAAAACCCTTTAAGGTTGCTCTACTTCTGCTAAAACTTCCCTATTCTTACAGAAGAAATAGAATATTTTAGTTTAAGAAGAAAAAAATGAATGGGGCTATCACAAAGGTACATAAAAACATAGATACTATTAAAATAGCACCTAGCCTGATTATTTTACAGTACACAAAAATCTAAATAAGGGTATAATGCTATTTTTTTCTAAAGCTATTAAATGTGCTAAACATACTAGACATAAAAAGATTCTAATTATGCTAAACATAATCAGGGATTATCAGACACAGCAGGAAGCCACCACCATCCCTAGGTCTATGGAACAGAGGAAGAAAGCAGTGATATATCAGAGCCCAAGTCAAAAGTCACCTAGTGGAAAAACAGAACCAAGGCAGGCATTCTGGCAGAAGCTGGCACTACAAAGGAGACATGGGTACCACCAAACACTACTTGAAGCAGAGAGGGAAGGAGAAAATACACTGGGCTTTCCCTCCCTCCTACTTTCCAAACCTCTGCCAGTGCCTCTCACTGGCAAAACCCAGGCAGAAGCCAGCTGATTTGGGAACTTGGAAAATGCCACCTACTGGAATCGCTTTCCTTTGAGATACAGAATAGTGAATGGGTAAGAAATAAATATGAGGGCAACCAGCATAGGACCAGCACAAACAGCAAGTACACATGCCCTTGCAGACCCCCTATTTATGTTAGACATCTCTGCCTTGATTTATCTTTATATCTCAATATCGTTTTCTTCTTTGTACTCTTAATGCTAGCTGCCTCAAATCTGTTGTGTAGAAAGGAGATGTGAAGATAAACATGTACACAAAAATAAAAGAACTAAAAATCCAAAATGACTACAGTAATGAAAAAAACAAGTGTTTAATACACATCATGCAAACTTTTCCTTATTAATATTTTCCAAATTCAAATTGATATTTTACCACCACTAAACACCAGCTTAATGGTAGAAAAAGAAAATTTAAGTCGCTTCTTGATTATCAAAGTGAACTGCCCACTGTAAAGTTTCATTATGAAGCTAGCAATTAAACAAGAATGCTTACTAAGAAATAGACTAAATATCATAG